TACCTTATTCAGTACTGTACCCCCAAATCATAAATGCGACAGCATAGGACTGGGGTGAMTGATGGAGGGACCATAGGCACCCCAGGCAACGTATGAAAGGAAGGAAAACATCTCAGCCTAGGCACGTGTTTCTCATTCATCATCCATCCTTTGCCTGGAACAAAAAAGTAAACCTCCTTCYGATGAACTTGACATACTTAAAAGTGCAGCTTCAGAAGAGGGTGAGTCATTCATGCATGAGGGTTATTCATTTGAGGGAAGAGATCACTATGGGTTCCTTTAAATAATAAGCCACTTTTTGCTCTCAGAAGTAAGAGCCAGCTGGCCAAGGTGGGATACATCTGTAATCCTAGCAGCTGAGGAGGAGGAGACAGGAGGATTKCAAGTTTGAGGCCAGCCTCAGCAACTTAGCAAGGCCCTAAGTAACATGGGGTGACTCTGTCTCAAAACAAAACAAAACAAAAAACGAAGTGCTGGAGATATAGCTCAGTCATAAAGCTCCCATGGGTTCAATCCCTGATATTTTTTTTTTTTAAAAGAGCAATTTTCAGATTGGTAACTCATTTCAGCAGATGCATCATCAATGCATTGCACAAAGTAAAGCTCCTGTGTTGAAAACCTGGGTGTCTGCAGCACTTTCTGCTTGCCTACACACGCTGCTGTGTTTGCTGGCCACAGGCATCTATGAGATGCCAACAGAGCTACAAAGTTTACAAAGGTATCTGATTCAGATTAAGGGATTGGGGCAGGTTAGCATGTAGGTTGAGCAACAGGCAGTTTTGTCTTTTCTTTCATTCTAGCATCCCCAATTCGTGGACCAGTCCCAGGCACCTAGTTGACACCCAACAAACCTTTGTTGAATGAATGTGTGAATCAGGGCCCCTACAACATCACCGGGAAAGAAACAAGGTATCATAGTACTGTAGTTGGAAAGAATTCTTTAATAAGTCACTAAAGGTCGGTTAGGTGGGTGACTAGCCCAAGAGGCATGCTCAGGTAATAACAGATGGTGACCAAATGGCCCAGAGTGTGGGTCTGGCTAACTGAAGGCCCCTTGTTTTTGTAAGTGGAATACACAGCTCCCATCTGGGCACAAAAGACTCGCTCCAGTTTCCTCTTTTCTCCTTGATATTCAGCTTCTAATCTAAGGAAATACTGAGGTCATTTGCTTGGATGTCAGAAAATTATGGGAAATCTGGGGTGACCACATGCTTCAGTTGCACTATGGCCATTGTTTGATCCAAGGCCATTTTTAAGAGCTAGAAAATGCAGATCTCTTCAGGTGTATCTACATGAAAAATCTCCCCAGGTRGGCTATAGCCCTAATTTTAAAAGCTTGGCCATATGCAAAGGAAGCACTTGAACRTTTTCTCTATTGCCAGTCATATACCACAATGTAGAAACCAAACAGTTGTGGTCTATTTTTTAAACATAATGACAATGCTTGAGGAAGTTGGTATACCCCTTTTGCAGACAAGAACTGAGACTCAAAGGTAATACTTAAACTTGCCTAACTAAGCTCACCCAGCCAATTTGTTACAGATTGTCTGATTCTACACTGATTTGCAATGCAGCTCACTGATGGGATTCCAAAAATGATTTAAGAGAATCAAATACTTTTGCTGAGAATGTCTTTCTGGTCTTTCCATTGGCCGACAGACTGCATGCATTAAGTATGGCCTGGAACAGGGCAGCAAATGACCTGTGGGCTCTCCTAGGAGATTGGGTAGGCTCCAAAGTATTTTTCCCCACATTTTCTTCCATAAGYCTCACTAGTCTACTTTGACTTAATGACTTCTGACTGCAGCGAAAGTCTGAGTGATAATGAGCTGTGTAGCAGAGTGAGAAAGTGCTCTGTTGTGCTGAGCTGGCTCCTGATGAGAACAGCTTAACTCCCCTTGCAAAGCAGCTCGGGTGCACAATGGCACCGCTTCTTGGAAAAATACCATCACTGATGTATTRCAGGGATGTAGGTGGGAATGGCACAGAATGTAAGAACATATTGGCACTGTCTATTTCAAACAGCAAAAGCAGCAGAAAGACATAAATGCAGTAATTCTAACCTTGTTAAAACTGAAAACATTCCCCAGGTCTTCTTGGGAAACTTTATTTTACTTCATGAGGAGGGAGTTGAACCAGCTTCTTTGAGGTCAGGTTTCATTTGGAGATTTTCCTCTTCCACTCTCCATCTAATTGGGCATGTGGTGCCATAACCCAAAGATGCAAAAAAAAAAAAAAAAGGATGTTTGGCATGAGCTATATTTTTAGGTCTTTCTCTGGGTGAATCCATTAATGAACCTTTGACCCAGGAACTGAACTCTTGAGAAGGAAAACAGAACTCAAGGCCTCCTTAGTTTATTTGGGCTTTGCCATTTACCTTGGGCAAAGAACCCAATCTCTGTGCTTGCTTTCTCATCTGTAAAATGGGGATAGGAAAAATCATCTATCTATAATGTTTTTTTGTACTGATTAAACGAGACAGAACCCAATTCATAAGTAATACTCAATTTTTTATTATTATCTTTAAACCCCAATCATAAATATGGTCCCTGTAGCATTATTCATAATAAAAAAAACTGAAAAAAATCTAAAATTCCAAATTTAAGTGGAGGATTAAGCAAAACAGTCTGCATATTCAGTTCTGAAAAGTGATGGAGCCATTGAAAATTCTGGCTATGTTGCCTAGAGTGTGAAAGGCTCGGGTCTAATCCTCAGCACAGTACATAAAGGAAAAAGACAATTCTAGGTATAAAACTCTATACAGTATTTTTAAATGCTTATAATAAGTGGGGATAATTAGTACTATGAATTCTATGAATAGGTGGGAAAGGTTGAGAAAACATGTTAGGATGAATGGATTCAGTAATTTTTAATTTTCTTGTCTCTATTTTCCAAAGAATTTCATATAGTTATATGATTTTTTTAGGGTAGAAATATATGATTTAAAGTTATTACTTTTTTACTATAATCTTCACTAAGGCTCAAGGGTTGCAGAACTAAGTGCTATTTCTGTTTATTTTATTATTATGTTCAGAAAAGAAGGACTGAGGGGAAATAGAGTAGGTGAAATAATTTTCCAAGCTTATGAACTGTTGATAGTAGGTTTGATGAAACCTTCAATAAACAAGCTTGACTCTTGCTTATTCAGAGCACACTAATATTCACACCCCAGTTTCCAGTTTCTCATTAGCTTTCCTGTGGTTGCTCCAAATGTTCTGAAAAAGCTGAAGGTCAGGTYCCAGACAGTCAGTTAGAGCCCAGCTCATGATGGACGAGATGAACTTGCTAAAAACCAAAATCTGTCTTTCTCAGTCTCTGTCCTCCACAACACCATGCCTAACCACCCTCCATTCTCTCTCTTTTCATTCAACAAACTGTCCTTACGGTGAGCCCAGCGCTACACTCCAACCTGGAAATAGAGGTGGATGAGACTCAGCCCTGCCTCCCAAGAGTTTGGTTTCAGGACCACAAAAAAAAAAAAAAAAAAGGAAAGACAGTAAACACCATCAATGTAATATTACAGGGGCCATGAAGGAGTATCAGGGCTGTAGAATCAAAGAGGAGGACTAATAACCATGTGTGGGGCTGGGGTCAACAGCACAGCAGAGAGATTTGGCCAAGCAACAGCAGGCGCAAAAGCATGGTTACCAAAGGAAAAAAAGAAAAAAAAAGAGAGGCTGTGAAGTTCACCAGCAGCACTGGTGTCGAGAGGGGTTCAGCTGGGGGAGAGGGCAGTCCACAAGGAATCAGCAYGTGAAGAGCAGGCTAAGGCATTCGGCATGAGACTTACAGGCTAACAACAATGGAAGTTCTGAAGCTGGGGAGACACATGCTCAGGTTTTATTTCAGGAAGAAAATGCTGGTGTCAGTGTGGAGGACGAGCTTGTTTGAGGGGTGGCAGGGATAGAAATGAGGGAGTAGCTGCAGTAGTCTGAGGACTGCTAGCCAGGGCTTCTTAARGCCTTGCAGTGGGAAAGGAGGTGAGGAACCTGATCAGAGTGTGACTAAGGCAGAGGTGACAAGCTTGGTTTACTGCTTGGCTCCTGGGGTTGAGAGAAGAGAAACCAAGGATGGATGGATGGACAGACAGACAATGAACCATGGTGAGCATACCATCAACTAAGATGAGAAATTTCAGAGAGACATGTGTGACGGGGGATAAGGAAAGGTAATGACAGGGTAAGTGAGCATGCCTGGGGACACTTATGCAGTTGAGTAGAGAGGTCTGGTCCTTAGAAACAGTTTAGGCTGGACATGCTGATCAGGAAGGTGACAGGGCAGCAGTGTGCTCTAGAATTGGAGGAAGTGATCCTGGTGAACTAGAGGTTGGAGTTCATGGGGATAATATTGCTTCGGGGCATGCAATTCTCAAAATTAGATTGGATGGAGCACTGTCTGAGGKTTTATTGAGGCTCTATGCTATATGAATAGCGTCTTCTTTTCCAGGCCCACACTCAATCAATTTTCAGTTCAAAAGCTTTTTTGTTTTGTTTTGTTTTTTAATTTGTTCTTGCTGACTCTTTTCCAGAGTGATGTACGGTGAACGGGAGGCTCTGGAATGGGACAGACCTGGATTCCTGTCCCAGCTCCCTGATTAAGGATGAAGCCCTTACAATCTCTTTGATCCTAGTTTTTTGCACCAAACACCCAGAGTGGTTAGATTTACAGTATGATGTATGTATGGCTGGTAACAGAAAAGCTTGTGACCTTAGTACTGCAGTGTATCAGATAACTTCAACCAAAAGGCTGCTCTTGGTAAAGAGACATCATCTACAAAACTGTCTTCAGGCCACATTGATAAGAGTGTTGATTAATGTTTGAGCTGGCCCTGGAATTTCAATTATTAACAAGTAGACTAGAGAGTTCTAAATGGGAGGGCATATTCTTCTTTCCATTATGATTTTTAAAAAAGGAAATAGTACACAACTTGTAAATGCCAAGATGAACTGAAGATCTCAAATATGCATTATTATTTTCAGAGTCATCTGATTTAGAGACAGTGGAATAAATCCAAGTAACAATTTTATTCTAATCTACAGCACAATTTTTACATACATTTTAGTGGTTTTTGACAGTGTAACTTTWAAGCAGATTTTTAAATCAATCTACAAAACTTCATATGTTAAAATAAAATACACACAGTAAAACAACAGGCATCCAGATGTTCAGAATCATGCAGATAGAGGTGGTCTGGGTGGTGATGTCATGGGTACCTTGCCTAATTAAGAACTCATCGGCAAACATCAGTTCTATTCCCCAATAATTTACCAAAATCATAGAGTTCTAAACATACACACAAAATAAACTCTCTTTTAAAGCTACGTCAGTACAAAATTTGAATTAATAAGCTAATTACCAATTCAACAATTCCATTGAGCAAGTGCATTGCTAGAAAATAGGCAGTATTGGCACCCGAACTAAGGGCAAGGTTATTTCATTTCTTACAACACCAACAAGAGAGGTTAACCAACAAAGCAACTAACACATTAGCTRTAATACAACACACTGAGGAAAAACAAAAATAATATATAAATACTACTCCATTGAGCCAGGATATAACTCATGGACTACAGATACAAGTTTCTACCTGTCAAACAATGCTTTAAATATTTTTATAGTTTTTTAAAAAAAAGTATATCGGGAGATGCAGAGGAAAGGCAGAAATGTGAATTTATAATCTGATTTCACAATTTAAAATGAATATCAAACTGATACTATTAACTAAGTGACAGTGACCTAACCTGTTGGGCACAGAACAGGCAATACCACTCTTCACTGTAATTCATAATGCTCTTGAGAAGTTTTCAGCGGATGGCCAGCCCAACAATACTAGCATAACACATAGAATACTCATCCACTGTTGAAAGAGACCCTGAAGAAAACATGGCAAAGGCATAGAGAAAAGTTGGATCTTTTGAAAAAGTTAATGATATCAAAATGCTTTTCCATCACTGGTAAGCCAAACTGTGTCAAGTGTATGGCCCAAAGCAGCACTGAATTCAGAGTCAGAGGTTGGCAGAAAAGTTTGGAAAACTGCAGTTTTTAAAAATTGGCAATTTTTCCACACTTCATAAAACTATCAGAAGAGGTATAATGTTTGTTCATTTGTGGAATGTTGACTGCTTGCTGCAAAAATTCACAACATGAATGAGGAACCGCAGAGAAGCAGGTCAATGAAGTATTTTTAAAAAATTTACAAAAAACTAAAGTTTCTATTTAAAAAATAACCATGTTATGCCAAGATGAAACATGGTAAAAAGTAGTGTAAGTTCTGTTCATGATTCTTTACACAGTGAATGGGAAAGTGATARAAAGAATTTTTTTTCTTACAAAGGAAGTTTTGTTATTGCACTGACTTTTACAACCTGACCTACTAATTTAGAAAAATCATGTAGTAAAATCTGTAAAATTAAAATACAAAATTCTGGTTTGTAAACATCAGTTGGCCAAAGTCTATCCAGAGTCCTTCATGATAGTGGAATGGAATGAATAATGAACTCACTGCTTTATTTGTTTGCTGTGAGGGGGGAAATCCAGAACGCAGCTTTTAACCTTTCACAGTAATTATATTCAAAAGATATAAAGAAAGTCAGTGCATTGCTTTTTTTTTTCCCTGTGCAATTTTCAGCTCTTACCCCACTCCCAAGTGCCACAGTTGAGATAATACTGTTTGGAGACCTAGTCCAGACTGGTCATAAATGTCGAATAAAGTCTGTAGGACTTCGGTATAAGTATTTCCAAATGGCGTAGTAGTGCACGGCAGCTGCTGTGGCCACAAAGAGGTGCCAGATGGCGTGGGCAAAGGGAATGATGCCATCACTCTTGAAGAACACAACTCCCAAGCAATAAATTAAGCCCCCATAGGCAAGTTCCTGAAGTCCTTCGGTGTTATTCTGTCAACAGAGGAAAAAAAAAATAAAAAGGGTTTGATGTTACTCTGATCTGACAAGCTGCAGAGACAACTATAATTCCCCCTAAGGCTCCTGATTTTTCTTGGCAATAAGAAGCTCAGTGTGAAGAGAGTCCTAATCTGTAAACAGAAACCAAACATTAAAAGGTCCCACACACTCGATGGGTACACCCTTTAGAGTGGCAGTCTTGATTTGGTCCATGTCATTACAGGCCCCACATGAAAAAGCAGCACATTCTGCTCATTTATTACATGTTTAAGCAGACTGTAATCACTGCCAGACATACAGGTTCATTGTAATATACAGTGTAATCCTCGGTTCCCATCTTCCCCTTCAAAAGCTCTATGCAGCAGGCCCAAACTCCTTCACTTAAAACATTTACATCTCGGCCAAGGTTTTCATTTCCCTTTGACCTCCTCACACACTGCTCTACACTGATTGCTTTTCTGAGACTTCCCCTGCTTTTGTGAGCTTAGAGCTTCCTTATGGCTGACACAGGAAATCACAGCCCAAGTGACCTTTAAGATTATAGACCATGTAGAACTAGATATTTCCTAACCTCCTAGGGGTCTCCAGGGCTTTTTGTTTTGGGRGTTGGGCATTTTTCTGGCTGAACAGGAAGTCAAAAATCTTGTGTGTTTTAGGTCAAAAATAAGATGTTGGGCTGTTGTGGATTTTCAAACACATAGGCCCAAGATGAAACTGGCTTGTATAAATGAGAAGGAGAGTGAAGAGAAAGTGCTTAGAAGATGATAGGGGAAAAGTCAATTCTCTGGATTCCTGAGGCTCAGGTATAGCAAGGCCTTGGGGAGTAGAAACCTAAGCCAGCTCATGGCAGGATCAGATAGGATAGGTGTGTGGCTGTCCTGGAGGCCTGGGGACTGGTGACAGCAGACTTATGAACCTTGGAGCAGTTCCCTGTGGCCAAATCTGCCAGAAGCTTGGATTCAGACACCTGCTCTATGTGGGTCCTAAAGGCAAGGACAATGACAGATGAGTATGAGCTAAGGACCAAGTGTGAGGCCAGGTGAGCAATCCTATCTTCAAAGTTCACAGGAGCCATTTTTGCAGGATTGAAGATGGGGAAGGCACCAACCCATATTGACTGATATCAGATTTCTTCTTATACTTGGTAAGAAGGGACTTTAGCCAGATTTTTACTTAAGTAAAAACAAAAACAAAATCAATGTATCACACACATCTATAACTTCCTCAAGGTTACAGAGAAACTAATACCCATTATACAAAATTCTGTGTGTATATTAGGAGCACTTTTCTAGGAGAGGGMAAAAGCCTTTGTCAGATTCACAAAGGGACACAGGACCCCCAAGTGGCAAGAGTTACTCATCTAATAAAAGTTGATTTTGAAATATTTAGTTAATAGTTCCTCAAGACACCCCATTTACTTGTATCAACTTTCAAAGACAAGAACATAGGCAACTCTAAAACAAAGTGTTTTCGTCATTATTATTACTACATGCCAGGCGCTTTTTGAAGCACTTCCATGTATTTACTCATTTTGATCTCCACAAAACCCCTAAATTAAGTCTAGTTATAAACTCCACTTTACAAATGAGAAAACTAAAACAGAGRGGTTAAATAATTTGCTCAAAGCTACATAGCTTTAAAATGTCAGAGTCAGAATTTGAACTAAGCTGGTCTGGTTTTTGAACTTTCATTTTGTGGGGGCAGGCAGGGGTATTAATTTCTTGATGACTAATTTACAAAGCAATGCATAGATCTTAAGTGAACGGTATGACTTTTGATAAATGTACACATCCACGTGACCCCAATACCCGCAAAGTTCACTGCCACTCTTTCCAATCCTGTAGGCCTCCAGCTACCAAAGCAAGCACTGTTGCTACACTAACACATACCAAGTCCAATTCTTCCAGAATTTCACATAAGTGGAGTTTTATATACATTTCTGTCTCTAGTTTCTTGTCTGCTCAATGTTTTTCTGAAATCCACACATGTACTAGCATATATCCATGCATCCCTTTTTATTGCTTAGTAGTCCAGTGATTTACTTAACACGATTTGTCTACTAATTATTTCMATTTGGGGGCTACTATGAATAAAACTAACATTTACATTATTGCCCAAGTCTTTTTATAGATGTAAGTTTTCATTTCTGTTGGGTGATATCTGTTGAATCACAGGATTAATATGTTTAATTTTATAAGAAAGAAAACAATTTTCTGAAGTGATTATATCATTTTATACTTTCCCAACAACATATTAAGGGGTTCCAGTTTTCTGTCTTTTTAATTATAGCCATTCCACAAGGTTTGTAGTTGTAGTTCACTGGGGTGTTAATTTTCACTTTCCTGATGACTAATGATACTGAACACCTTTTCAAAGCCTTACTGAATATTTTTTGGGGTGTAKATGTATGTGTTTGTGTATGTGTGTATACACACACATACACACACACATAGCATGTGTGTGTGTGAAACGACTGTGCAAGTCTTTTACCGAATTTTCTAGATTATCCTTTCATTATTGATTTGAATATATGTGGGTGTGTGTACATATATTATATAAAAAAATAATTTATGCACACATGCATCCATACATACACACACATTTCTTAAACCATCATCAACACAAGCAACTGAAGTAGTACAGGTCCTTCCTGGTGCTGCTTAGGCTGCTTACCACCAATTGTTAGATTGCCTTTTCATTATTATTCAGTTCAAATACCCATGGGTTTATTTACAAATATTTGGGGATTTTCTATATCTTTTCTGCTGCATGATTTCAATTCTTTGCGATTATATTTTTAGGATGTATTCCTTTGTCAGATATGGAGAACGCAAATATTTCCTCCCAGTGTGTGACGTTTTTCATTTCCTTAATAGTGTCTTCTGATGAGCAATACTTTTAGCAAATAAGCTCAACTTTTTTTTTCTTGGTTATTCTATGACCCAAGAAATTGGTGCCCAACCCCAAACTGTAATGACAAGGTACCCCCATGTTCTTTAAAGTTTCTAGGATTTCTAGAAACTTTATAGTGTTGGCTTTATAATTAGGTCTATGAGACACCTCAAATTAATTTCTGTGTATGGTGTGAAATTGAAGTTCATATTTGTTGAAAAGACTTCCCTTGCCCACTGTACTCTTTTATACACATATTTACTCTTTTATTTCAATTTTGCATCCTACTACTTTGCTACATTTGCTTCTCAGATCCTATAACTTTTTGTAGGTCCTTTAAGATTTCCTATACATGAACAATGCCATCTGTGAATAAAGATGGTTCTATCTATTCTCTTCCACTCTGTGTGCCTTTTAATTCTTTTCTCCCCTTACTGCATGGCTAGAAGCTAAGTTCAATGCTAAACATAAGTAGCAAGAGCAGACATCGTTGCCTGTTCTCAATCATTCAGTCTTTCACCATTAGTTATGTCATTACCTGGCAGGATTTTTATAGAAGAGATTTATGAAGTTTCCAAGTTTTCTGAGAATTTCTTTCAAGCCATGAATACTGAATTTTTCCAAATGCTTTTCCTGCATCTACTGAAATCACCAATGTTTTTCTCCTTGATTCTCTAATTGTGATGAATTTAAAAGACTAATTTTAAGTGATGTATCAATCTTGCATTCCCAGAATAAATCTAACTTGATTATAATGCATTATTCTTCTTATATATCGATAAATCAGATTTACAAATATTTTTTTTTGAAATTTTTTCCTCTTTCATGAAGTTTTCTTTAGCAGTTTTCTTTTCCTGTAATGTCTTTGTCATTTTAGCATTAGGGTGATACCAGCCTTATTTCTACCTTAACTATTTGTTAGAGTGTGTCAGTGAAGTTATCAAGACCTAGGGTTTTCATTGTAGAAAGGGTCTGATTATAGATTCAATTTCTTTAAAGATGAAGTAGGCTAGTCAGATCTTTCGTTTCTTCTTGAGTCTGTTATGGGACAGACTGCCTTTTAATAAATTTGTCCATTTCATCTATATTCACTAGTACTATATTTAGTGGTATACAGTTGTATATAATATCTCCTTATTTTGCTTTTAATATTTATAGGATCTATGTTGATATTCCCTAATTTATTCCTTACAACATTATGTTTTCTCTATTTCTTGATCCATCTATCAAAATATTACCATTTATAATCTTTTCAAAGAAACTACTTTGGTTTCATTAATTTTCTACATTTGATAATTCATTTTCTATCTTACTGATTTCCATTGTCTATTTTTTCTTTCTTTCTTTCTTTTTTTTTTTTTTTACTGCTGGTTTTTTTGAGGTTAACTCACTCTTTCTCCGGAGCTTAAGGTAGAACCTTAGATCAATAATTCTAAAACTTTCTTCTTTTCTAATTGGGTTCATCAGAAACACAGCCAATAGGACATGCGTGTGTGCTTGTATGTGTGTACTGATTTATTTTAAGGAACTGGCATATGTAATTATGGGKGTGGCAAGAGTGAATTCTGCAGGCTTGGTTGGCAGGCTGGAGACCCAAGGAAGAGTTGATGTAGCCCAAAACCAAAGGAAATCTAGAGGCAAAGTCTTTCCTAGGAACCTCAGACTTTTTCCCCTAAGCCCTTTGATTGATTGGCTGAAGCCTACCTACATTATGGAGAATAGTTTTTTACTCAGTGTCCACTGAGTTAAATGTTAATCTCAACTAAAAAGTACCTTCCCAGTAACTAGACTGATACTTGACAAGCATCTGGGTACAACAGTCTAGCCAAATTGACAGATAAAAGCAACCATCACACCAACACAAGCAACTGAAGCAGCACAGGTCTTTCCCGGTGCTGCTTAGGCTGCTTACCACCAATTGTTAGATTGCCTTTTCATTATTACTCAGTTCAAATACCCATGGGTGTATTTACAAATATTTGGGGATTTTCTGTATCTTTTCTGCTGCATGATTTCAATTCTTTGATATTCACTGAGGATTATTTTATGGCCCAATATATTATCTATTTTGATTAAAAGAATTTGTACTGCAGGATTTGGGT